CTGGGAACTGGGAATTGGGATTTTATTTTACTGGGAACTGGGATATTGGGTGTTTTTTGCTGGGAAAGTGGGAATGTACCCTCCCGTTCTCCCCCTCATATATGCAAGACATATACAGAATTTATTTCTTACGTAATTTCTTATCTAGTACGTAGCCTATAGTGTGTATTGTAATAGAGAAGGAGAAAAGATGAAACGAGAGCGATAGAAAGCGGGAGAGAGGGGGAACGGATAGAGAGACTGCGCGAGAGTGTGAGTGTGAGCGAGAGAGACGAGGGGTAGTGTCACTAGTGTGTGTGTGTGTGCGCGTGTGTGCGTGCGTGCGTGCGTGTGTGTGTGTGTGTGCGTGTGCGCGCGTGTGCTTGTGAGTGTGTGTGCGTCTGCGCGTGCGTGCAGCATTTTTGAGGTAGATTCGGTCACAATTTTTCAAGGAGCAGTGACCAACTTATCTTACGCCTTATATCATAACCAGCAAAAGATGATTCCAGCCAACGCTGTATGCAATCCGAGTCACTAGACAGGATGTATTGGCGGTATACTACCATATCGTCGGCCACGTGATCAATCAGTGATCATATCAATCAATTATTAATCAATTATACTAGATACTAATATACCTGCTCTGTTTATAATAACGATAGAGCTATATGGCTGTCTAAATCTAATTACTCTAGCCTTCGTCAGTCTATATCTACCTTAGAGCCATACCTAGAGTATCTACATAGAGTAGCAAAGATTCTAGTAGTTTACAGTGGTTCTTAACCTTTTTTGAGTCATGGACCCCTTTGAGTATCTGGTGAAAGCTACGGATCCCTCCCCATAAAAATGCACATGAACACAAAATTTTGCATGCGCCTGCGTCACGGACCCCCTGAAGCCCATCGACGGACGCCAAAGAAGTCCATGGAACATCACAGGAATCTATGCCCTAGCGCTGTGTCATAATGTGGCGCCATCTACCGTAGTAATCCAGCGGCACGTTGCAGACGCGTAACCTCGCGTTGCCGCCACGTCGTCTGCCGACCGTCGGCGCCGCCGGCTTGAAGTTCAGCCGCGTCGTCGTCTCGTATAAGCTTTGCCCGTTCGTCGGTTCTCCGAAGCTGACGTCACTCGCCGTGCGCTTATCGTGGAACGAGCGGATGTGTGCAGACGATGGCTCGCACGGCTACAGAACGCGATGTCACGTGATTACGATTTCTCCGCCATATTAAAACGCCGAATAGAGTCGATTAATATTATTATTATTATTATCATAATCATCATAATCTTTGTCATCATCAAATGTAAGGAATAGTAATAGTAATAGTAATCCTCACAAAACAAGGAGAATTTAGCATTTACTAGATTTGATCTGCTTGTCTAAAGTGATTTATTGTCCGTCACTCAATAAAAATGAATAGTATTTTACTACTATATTGTTATTATTATTATTATTATTATTATTATTATTATTCATTAATTGTTATTATCTGTTATTATTAGTATTTTTCGTATTTAATATCATTGTATTGTTATTATTTGAAGCACAGATTACGGCGCATCATTGCTCTCACGCTAAACGGAGTACGACTACTAAGTAACGATCGCGCGTGCGTATAAAAAGCTATTGTGAGTATAGTTATTTCATAATGGTCAGCTAGAACAAGAGCCGAATTGAGGAGACCGCCCTTCTCTGAACAACATATAATTACGGCTCTACTCACGGCCGCTTTTAGCGCAAAGGGGAAATGGTTTAGAGGCCCACATGAGCTTGGCCGCACATGTGGAAGCAGCACCCCTACGGCGAGTGATAAACAGAGAGCCTATAATAATTATTTATGAGTGCTTCGGTTGTAACGGTATATTCTTTATCTGTGACAGAAGGAGGGTCAGCCATAAGCTATTCACTTAACGTAAAGAGTCCACAAAAACTCATTGAATCGGCTGGCTACTCTGTCGCGTAAACGCATTATAAGCAGTATTAACTTATGTAAGAGATACAAAGATATAAGAGAAAGTAAGAGATGCAGTAAGTTAGCTGACCGTTGGTTTTTTTAGCAAAGTAGACTCGATAGTTCCCCCCCCCCGTCAAGGCTGTAATTCGCTGCTTACATCTGCGTGTTCAAGGTCTCTGTCCCTCCGGAAGGAATACTCTCGTTCCTGGTTGTGTATATAGTCCGGAGCGCGTGCTGGCGATATAGAAATCGGGCGTTGCTAGACATGCTCGATTCTGACTTCGCCCTCCGCTTTTAACTGTCGAAGCTACCGCTGGCGCTCCACATCATGCGAAGGTCCGTTAGTAATTTACATTGTTAATCCCACGCGAAATGAAATGAAAACTGATTTTCTAAGGCAATATTCCCACGATGACTCCGTGTGGTTTCAGAATGGCATATAAGAAACTATGTCGCATGCGCGCGAAACCGAGCGTTTCGATGGCTTCAGCCTTCATCGAAGGAAGGGCGTCCCCGCTGTGCACCTGCATCGTTTTGCCCCACTTACTAGCTAGACGTGTTCATGCTGCCGTTTTTCAGCGCAAACAACTACCCGATGAGTAAATAATTCTAATCATGGCTGCCTAATTAATGTAGAAGGTGTGCGTTCTGACTGGTTTGGAATTTGAACGCACGCACGGTTGAACGTTAGCTGGGCCAGCAGAGAATGGCGCGATCAAGGGAGATCTTTAATTCTTGG